AATATTGAATGTCAAATGTTAAAATTTTATTCAATGTTTGTATCAAAACTAAAAATACATCTGTACGTGTAACTGAAAATAAGTAAATGTGTACATTACCGGGTAATTAGTAAGTTTCTGATCCGTTTTTATCCTAAAAACTAAATTTATGAACTATCAAATCTTTCCTGTTCCAGTATTTATACTTTGGTGTTTGTCCACCTACTAATTTCATGGCTAAAATTTCTAGGAAACGAATGTCTAATTGAAATTATACAGGGAATTTTAAAATGTGTGGTAGTCATTCAGATTGGGCATTTACATGTAAGCAATTACATCCTTGGCCTGTGTGAATGTTTATGAGGTCAATGATCTGTCTGTGTTTCCTTTTGATTTTAATATGGAAAATAGATGTAGCTGTAATTTAAAGAAAGACATGAATATAATCAAAAGACAGAAAATATCCAAATTATAAAGAAAACAAAATCTAGATAGAAGTCTAAATTACAGAGAATTAAGAGTTCTTTTGGCATGTTTGTGTTTTTGATCATATTATTGATGAGTGTATCTTGTATTTGGGAAGAAATCCATCATCAATCTGGTTACTGAATCGGGAAATCTTTCCAGTGTTCTCTTTGTGATGTTGTTAGATACTACCGTAGTGTATTATCAAGAGAAGACATGTATCCTAAGAAGTTTATCTTTGGTGCCAGAGAATTGACAAGTGTCTCTGCATTACGTTATAATGTAAAGTACACTAGAACATCTAAGTAATAGAATTTATTTATTATTAATTCTAATAGTTTGTGTATGAGCCTTGTGTGATTTGAAGTTTATTGTAGAAATTAATTTAGTCGCATCTAATTGGGCAAGGTGTGTATGTATTTTACGGTCTGAATGTATGAATAATAAAAAAATGTTTTTTATCTATTTTCAGTAGATGCGACTAAATTCAATTGTGAGAAATCCAATTTTTAGTGAGCATATTTGTATCTTTGGCAATTGAATCATATAATAGAAATATATGAAATCTATGCATTATTGGCAATATTTGTTACATTTCATACTAAGAATTCATTTAACCACTTTGGCTTCTTTTGCCCTACACATCTACTGCAGTCCCACCTTTTTTGCAGTTCCCTCTTTATTGGACTTGCTTTACAAAACACCTCTCAAAACTGAACAGTCTTGTTTACTTAATATTTTCCTTGATTTTTCAGAATAGTCTCTTTTCTATTAATTTATTTCTTATTCATAGACAGTCTAATATAATATGATATCCAGTGGAATACGTCAACCACAACACTATATAGAAAATTGTAGTAGGTAATCGTAGTTTTACATAATTCAGTATAACCAGATGTATAACCAGTTTCAGACAAAATATTCATATCAATCATTGGAAAAAGACTACATGTATGATTACAATTTTCTATATAATACATTTATCATCTTTTTATGATCGTTTGAACTTTGAACCCCAAAACAACTAATGCTGGTTAACTAGTTTCAGTTGTTCTTCTCATCATCACAGTTCAAGTATCGCCTGCAGAGTCATCTATGGTCTGCTGTCAACAACATTCCAAGAATCCATAAAAAAAACACTCGTTTTTATTTTTCCCTATATTAATATAACAGCAATGTACCTTGAACACTTTTATTGCAATACATAACCAAGACATCACGTAATAGTTTGGTCTTTATGATATCTGCATGGTGTACATACAGCTGATATACACTATTCAGTTTGGTGGTTGATTTGTTACTGAGCCATTGTCCTTTCTAATTCTTCATTTCCCATAGGAAGGATTTCATTTAAGAACGATAAAACGATCTTGTATTTGCAAGGAAGCTGTTTATTGTTCTGTCAGAATTGCAAGATAGTTTTCAGTAAAATTTGAATGAAAAGTATTTTTTTTTTTTTAAATAGAGCGTTTATAATTCGGTCGTTCTTTAGTGCATCCTGACATGTCGGTTTGTGTTTGTGCTTGGTCTATACACCGTCTCAACGGGACGATGGCCTATACTGCTGTTGTTACTTAACCCTCTCATCATTATTTTCAAGGGTAGATAAATGGATAAGGGTGTACATTGAAGGTGATAGGTGCTAACAATCTCACTGCTCACAATAAACAGTGTGAATAAGGCACATTATCATGCTGTATTATTCTTGAGTTAATTATTGGTTTACAAATTTGAATAAATGTTAAAATATTATGCTGATGTGTCTTAAAACATTTTATAATATTTTTTCTAGTGTTATTTATTATTGTATACATGAGTCATGTGATGGTTTGAAATACTGCATGTATTGTTTTTCAGTTCATCTGAAATCAGATGTGCATGATGTGCCTGTAGGAAATTCCTTGATAATAAAAATACTAAACACTCAAAATATGTGTCTTCACTGCATCAGTCACTAACTCATGAGTAGATGGGATTTCACCACATTTTGTGTTTTTACGATACATAGAAGACCATGTACTAGTACAGTCCCAGAAAAACAGGAACTGATGCATGGGTCAGGCGTAGGGATGCAATAACAATAAATGACCATGTCATGCGAGGGTCTGGTGATGACACTAAATGAGTACACTATCTAAACAAAGTTTATTGCCAGTAATTGTATGTATATTTGTTGCTAGTTACTTAGCTTGGTACAGGTTTCTTGTATATGCAAATTAGATTAGTTTTCACTGAAAATAAACTCAAAATAAGAATCAATGAATTAATGCGATTATTTGATATACAAATATACATACACATGTCGCTGCACTTTACCCGACTGACCCATCAAAGCCGCACCTGTTTTGATCTAGTATCAGGTATATCTTGATTATACGTCAATTCTTTTATTTGTACATGGCGATTTAATATACAATTTTTTTTGCTTCTCAGGTGGTGAAAGTCCCAAGGCAGCTCAGAACGGTGAGGTCAACAGTGCCTGCAAATGCCGACCAGGAGGCAACCAACTTGTTTGTTAAAGAGGTAAGCATATGATGATGTGATTAATATTTTACAAAATTATATTTCAGATTTGATACATGTATGTTCAATATGTGCATGTGTTGATCATAATAATTTGTAGTAAGTGTTAACTCATGTGAAGTTGTTAAAACAAGAGACACATTATGAGTTGTAATGTTGCAATATATGACACTTTTACTGCTTCAGCAGTATACATTTGTAATATAGTGGCCTTGTGACATCATTTCTGCAGAGCATACTGTGTAATATTACAGTTTATTGAAGCCAGACTGTCAACGTTTAATGAAAAACCATAAATTAATACTGTGATATTTACTGTGTCAAACTTTACTCTGACTTCTCAAGGTTTGATCGTGTGTAGAGAAGAATGAATTCATGTTATTTTGTAGATACATTAGTATAAAGCAAGTTTGTTTTACTGTTGAAGTAGAATGCTACTCAAAAGTTAAAATATTGTATTTTAGTTATTTTTACATTTTTGATATATCATGTTAGGATGAAAAAAATGAATTAAAAATCTGGGGTCAGTTCAGAAGGAGATACAAAATAGCATGTTTTGTCTGTTTTAGATCATTTTATCATAAATGGTTGTTTCCTATGCCAAGAATATCAATCCCTCGAAATTCCGATGAGTGACATGGTGAAAAAAAGACATACATACATGTAGTGTCTTACTAGAAGTAATAAAAATGACATTTTATGCATATTTTTTTCTACGGTTTTTCTCAAAAAATAGATTGACAGTGAACTAAAAAAGTTACTATTGACTAATGCTAAAATGATTTAATAAATGTAAACTGAATTTAACATGAAATATTGTCATTGTTATATCCACTAAAATACGTGCACCTGTAAAAAATCCCATGATACTACCTTGAATTACATTGCTCTATAAGAGAATATATAGTGTTTGTGATTTTCATACGTGTGCATGTGTAGTGACAAGAATAGTAATGTCCACTGCTGCTGTTATTAAATGTACATGTACTTGTTTTTAAAAATTAGGGGAATTTTCTTACGATAGATTGCCATCAAGAGCACAGTATTTTTTGTCAGACACTTTTTTACTTCCCATTCTGTTACAAAGTACATCGTAGTACAAATGTAACATTTGTAATAGTAATACATGTAGGTGGAATCTACTATCTATATGAGTTTGTTATGATGCTGCTCTGTTGTAATCTTTTCTGGTTTTCATTAATAACATTTTAAAAATATCATAATCTCATAATCACAAAAGATAGCATCATGCACATGTCATGGAAATGTTTTTACTTTTACCTTTTTCAGTGTATAAAGAGTTACAACTCCGATTGGTATGTGGTTAAAAAGAAATATGACGCCTACAGCGGACATTACATGCAACTGCCAAAGTAATCTCTCATTTTTATTTTATTAAAATCTTTTGCAATAGCAATATTTTTGCAGATTTGTCTGTTTAGACATCAGAACAATAAGTAGTACTTTGTATTACTTTTATAAAACGACTTTTGAGTTGATTTTTGTTTTGATTACCCCCGGTAACTCAAATAAATGTTTTTGTTGCAACAGCACCATCTCATTATTTTCTGGACAAATATAATGTCAAATTTATGATTTGGCATTAAAAAAATATATAATACAACATCCATATAAAGACCACCTGTCCATAGAGACCATTTTATTGAAACCTTCCAAGTGGTCACTATACACAGGTTTTACAGTACAAGTGGTTATATCATAAATGAACCAATATTTTCTTCATGAGGTCATGCAACTTGAATCTTGCATGAACATAAAAAAAAATCATGAAAAGACAGTTTTCTGATTTTTACAAAACACTGAACAAATTAAAAATTTTCCCAGGCAAACGATCTGTCGGATTAACTTTAATTCATCTTCTAATGGAAATTTAATGTTCTAGCTTAAACAAAACATGTGATGAATGTGTCACTATCAAATCTCAAATCACTTTCAAAAAGTGTTTGAAACATAAATTGTCATCCAGTTGCAAAAGGATAATTTTCAGCTGCCATAGCTGTAAAACAGTTCATATCAATGATTAAATCAGACAGGCTTACATGTTTCATATATGTGATTTTTCTCCTTAGGTGTGTCTACATACCATGCTGTGCATGCATTTCTTTTATTTGATAAGCTTAGTTTTAATCTTAATCTTAATCTTATGTTTTGACATTTTAGTGTTGAGAAAATTGATAGTCTACCAGAGCAAGTATATGAAATTGATCAATCTGATGACAAGGCAGAGGAAGAAGATACATTATTGTCACCTCGCGGAGGAATCGAGAAAAAAGGAGTCCTTTTCAAAGCTCCATTTGGTAGTAAAAGCAAGATACCAATGATGGAGGTGAGACATTACTACAGATAAAAATAATCAAATTTGGTTTTGTATTTTTTCAATTCAATGTTTTGTTTTTGATAATTGGAGCAAATATTGTTATATTTCAAATCTGAATACAAGGAATTATAGATTGCCCGTAGATCTGTCCAGACAGCCACCTGTGTGTGCATATGTTCTAATTTTTCCCAGATCTTACCTTGAAAACAGATCTATTTTCTTTCGTATGAGATGTTGGTTGTAAGCATGCCAATAAAACATGGAGTACTGTAAAATCTGTATTAGAAACCGCGGCTTCTATTAAAATGGTACAATGCAATAGAGGGGATGTGGCTTCTATTAGAGCACCTAAACATATGAGAAATGATGAATTTT